ATTCCTAGTTTAGTGAATGACACATGCAAGCCTATTTCAACTATGCAACTTTGGCCTTTTTTTTTTTTTTTTTAAGTGTTGTATAACCATTGAAACATACACATAACAGAAGCCAGGGAAAAGCATGTAAAAAGTGTTTCTAATCCAGGCTAACTATGGTCAAGGACAAGAGCATTTCTGCCTCGTCTGACAGAGCAGGCAGGGCCGGCAGAGCCCTCTTCCCTTCCGCAGATTGTCACGCCCCCCCCCCCATCATATTTGATTATATGTTTTGTACCCTGTGTTTGTTATTTTGATTGCCTAGAGGAAATGCTTACCTTTAAAGTGACATCCTGGGGCTGTGGTTTGCAATATCCTTTATCAAGCTTGCTGTGTCGGTTCATATTTATTTTAATTCTTCTTTTTAGAAGGAGGATTTTAAGGTCAGTGCAGTACCTTTGTGATTGCATTCCAAGAGTACTTAGCAGGGGTCCACGTACTAAAGGTGTTGAATCATTGTGAACTGGGAATGCATCCAAGTTCATGCTTTAACTGAGAATCCTCTGTTAAATATTTAAAAGTGAAAGCAATCTTTCAAAAGAGGCATATGGACCTGGACAGCATAGAAATGATGAGCACAGTACGCGAGGAGGCAGCAAAGGCGGAAGCTGGGACCTGGGCTTGTGTCTCTGACCTCAGCTGTCTCCTTTCATTTGACGGGGTTCTGCTTTCTAACACGTGGTGACTCCCATTCCATCAGCTTTCATTTGCTCACGTTGTCCTCCCATGGGCTTTCGTGTGGTCCTGACCTGGATCTGCTTCCTGGCTTTGCCTCTAGTAGCTAAAGGACCTTAAAAGGAACCATTTGAATTTTGAATTTCATAGGGATTAAAAGTTTGAGAGAAGATTGGATTTTACTCAAATGCAGCCCCCAGGTGCTCCACCATCCTCAGCTCTCTGTTGCTTTTTCTCCAGCACTCTGCTGTTTTTTTCATAAGATCGTACAATTCATAAATATTTTGTTTGCATATTTTTTCTTGTGTCATCTTGCCTACAGAATTGTATGATTCATGAATTCAGGGATTTTTCTGTTTCTGTCTTGTTCATCTTTGTTTCCTAGTGGTAAGCTCAATGAATAGCATATGGTAGACTTTCTCTTCAGCATTTTTTAAATAAAAAATTTCAAACATGCAGTAAAGTTAAGAGAACTATTAATACCATACCTTAATATCTACCACCTAGTTCAGTGATGGCGAACCTTTGAGCTCGGCGTGTCAGCATTTTGAAAAACCCTAACTTAACTCTGGTGCCGTGTCACATATAGAAATTTTTTGATATTTGCAACCATAGTAAAACAAAGACTTATATTTTTGATATTTATTTTATATATTTAAATGCCATTTAACAAAGAAAAATCAACCAAAAAAATGAGTTCGCATGTCACCTCTGACACGCATGTCATAGGTTCACCATCACTGCCCTTAGACATCTGCCAGACTGTGTCCTGGAAAGCAAACAAACTAATTTTTCAAGACAAATCCCCAGTATCTGCTCAACTTAAAGAAAATCTTCATCCTTTCATTGTCACATAGCAATAGCCACTGCTTAAAAGAGCAGGCCACTCTTTGTTCCCTACCCTGTACTGACTAGCAATACTTGGCCCTTTCCTCTATTGAAAAGTAAAATGCACGTCCTCTCTGCATCTCTTCTTTTAGTTGTGAATTCTTTCACATCCGGCATCACTAGCCAAACTCTAACAGGAATAAAGATAGTCTCTTCAAAAATGGCATTGGAAAACTGGACAGGTACATGCCAAAAATGAAAGTAGACCACTAACTTACACCACAAGAGAATAAACTCAAAATGAATAAGACTTAAATATAAGTCACAAAACCATACAAATTCTAGAATAAACTATAGGCAGTAAAATCTGAGACATCTCATGTAGAAGTATTTTAACCAATACATCTCCTAGGGCAAGAGAAACAAAGGAAAAACAAAGAAATGGGACTATGTCAAACCCAAAAGATCTGTACAGCAAAAGTAACCATCTACAAAATTAAAAGGGAACCCATTATATAGAAGAATGTATTCATCAATGATACATCTGATAAGGGGTTAATTTCCAGAATATACAAAGAACTCATACAACTCAAAACCAGAATGGCAAACAACCCAATTAAAAAATAGGCAAAGGACCTGAACAGACATGTCAACAAAGAGGACATACAGATGCCAATAGACATATGAAAAAAATGTTCAATGTCACAAATCATCAGAGAGATGTAACTTAAAAATACAATGAGGTTTCACCTCACACCTGCCAGAATGGCTATCCTCAACAAATCAACTAACGACAAGTGCTGGTGGCAATGTGGAGAAAGGGAACCCTTGTGCACTGCTGGTGGGAATGCAGGCTGGTGCGGCCATTATGGAGACAGCCCAAGTGCCCATCAGTAGATGAGTGGATAAAAAGATGTGGTACATGTACACAATCATGTCATTTTGTATGGAAACAAATGTCTTTGCAGATATGATTAGGTAAGGACCTTGACACTGAGAGATTATCCTGGCTTCTCTGGGTGGCCCAATCGAATCGCATGAATCCTTAAAAGGGAAGACCCTCTCCCAGCTGTGCTCAGAGAGACACGGTGTGAGGCAGCAAGGCGGAAGCTGGGACCTGGGCTTGTGTCTCTGACCTCAGCTGTCTCCTTTCATTTGACGGGGTTCTGCTTTCTAACACGTGGTGACTCCCATTCCATCAGCTTTCATTTGCTCACGTTGTCCTCCCGTGGGCTTTCGTGTGGTCCTGACCTGGATCTGCTTCCTGGCTTTGCCTCTAGTAGCTAAAGGACCTTGAACAAGAAATGTATCTTTTCCAAGTTCTAGGTTCCTTACTTGTAACTGGGAGACCGTAACACCTACCTCAACATGTAAAACATGTCCACCATGGAGAAGACCCTTGGTAAATATTAGTTTTAAGATCAGTTGCCACAATGGATTAGTAAGAAATGATAATTTGGGGGAGAAATACGAATGTAAGCATCTAGTGCAATAGGAGGAAAAAGCAAATCGGAAGTGGATATTTTATTTATAAAATGAAACCTAATTTTATTTTGCAAAAATCAACAAATACATGTTCAGATCTGGTTTATCTTCAAACCATGTGCTTGTGTGTGTTTTTTAAAACAAACATGCAAAGTAATTTGGCATGCCAAACATCTTTCTCTCTAGCTCTTTTTGGAAATTTTTTTTCTCCATAACACAAACAAGGGTGCAGATATTGTACAAAAACTATTTATACTTTTTACCCTCCAGTATCACTAATATTGATACTTATTGAGAGGAAAGAAAAACTGCAATGCTTGATCTTTGGCATTCACATCTGATTCAGCAGTATAATTAAAATTTGCAATTGTTTTTATTTTTTATTTTTTTAAAATATATATATTTTTATTGATTTCAGAGTGGAATGGTGAGGGAGAGAGAGATAGAAACATCAATGATGATAGAGAATCATTGATCGGCTGTCTTCTGCACACCCCCTACTGGGAATCTAGCTCACAACCCAGGCCTATGCCCTTGACCAGAATCGAACCTGGGGACCCTTCAGTCCCAATCTAGCTCGCAACCCAGGCCTGTGCCCTTGACCAGAATCGAACCTGGGGACCCTTCAGTCCCCAGGCTGATGCTCTATCCACTGAGCAAAACTAGCCAGGGCAGCAATTGTTTTTAAAATGAACACTTCAAAGTAAATTTAATAAATCTTGATTTTGCTCTTCAAAGGAGTATTTAACTGGAGCTGTCAAGTTCCTGCTGGTAGAATATTACTTCCAGCCTATTTATTAGCTTTTCTTCCTGTAGCCCAATACATGTTCCCCCCTCCACTGAAAGCACAGAAAAAAAGCAATTTCTTTTCTCTT